TTGGACACCGGTACACGGTACCAGTACCGTACCGAATAGTTACTTCAAATATACCGGTAAAATACCGTTTCATTTAATACCGGTACTGATAACGGTATTTCATAATCTTTAAAACATTGTTATAGATTTAATAAAATTATTTTTTGAAAAAGATTCCAGACTCGCTAAACTTGATTCTCTGTGCATTGAAAGGGTACGCTAATTAACAAAATCAGTACTAAGGAAGATACTTCCTTTCTACAACCGATATTCGAGAAAAACCAACACGTATTAAAAAATAATTTACATTAATCCTGTTTCAGTTTTATTAATAGAAACCGATAAAAATTGTCAATTAAAAAGGGAAATTGTTGCGAATTTGTGATGTCATCTCTCTCCATTTCTCATGTTTCGTCGTTTAGTGATACCAAGCAAAATGGCGACCGGATGAAGCGATCAGCTGTCATTTAGCAGAGAATTAGACAACGGTGTTTCTTATATTTTTTATTTTATTGAGATTCAGAATAATTTGTTTTGTTCATTGTCACAGGTGGTGAAAAATCAAGTCTCAACCGGGACTCGAACCCAGGGCCTCTGGCGTACCGTGCCAGCGCTCTAACCAACTGAGCTATTGAGACCCGATATATTGACTGACTTTCACGCACCTGTGAACCCGGTGACATACATCATTTAATAAAAGGTTGAATTATAGAAATAGAATATATTTAACACATTTTAGATTATAACATTGAAAGTTTGGTTATAAGCGGTGATAATTGAAAGCATATTTTTCATTAAAATAAACCCGGATTCTCATTCATCAAGGTATAGCACCGTACCGTTAAAAATACCGTATCGTTTCAAAAATACCGGTATGGTATCATACCGTTTCATCCTTAACGGTGTCCAACCCTAAGTATATTACACCTCGCCAGGGAATTTCAGAGGAGGCCAGCAGAATCACTAGAATTAGCTTTGATACCGCAACCAATGAGCTGTACCACAACAATGAAGCTGTACCCCATTGTCTTCCACTTCAAGTCCTTTTGGACTTTATATAATTTTTGATCTTACTGGGCAAAAAATGTGTGTTAGTAGCTCACAACAACAAATGTCTTGATGCTATCATATTGTATAATCAGTTGAAATATTATAAGATATGGAATCACTTTTGCAAGTATGTTGTTGGGTTTTGTGATACCTTGCCATTTTTCAAATATTTGTATCCGTCTTTTGAAAGTTACAAGCAGGAGTATGTTGCTCAAATATTATTGAGTGAGTCTTACTCAGCTCACAATGCCTTTGATGACTCTAAAAAAGAGTGAAAAGGTTGATGTTCTGCTTTCTGATTTTTTAAAAGTACGGTGCAAGTAAGTTCTCATGGTGTTCAGCCATCTGTAGAATCTTTAGAATATTTGCAGAAAGAAAGCAATCCTGAAGAAGATTAAATCTTCATCACTAACATACAGTCATTTGAAGCTTGCATATCAGAGAGATGGTGTTGGTGGTATATATTTCTTATTTAGTGAAAAGACAAATCATGGCTAGGCTAGAGTAAGCAATACTTACAGAATTTCAAAGAAGGTTGCTGAATTTCTCTCAAGTTAGTTATGTTCACATGTATTTGTTATCCTGTGTGATTTCATAAGTGCTTCGGATTGTGAACATTTTGTACTCACTAAATTAAGATCATACAGATACATGTCTTTGATCATAGACAATTGATGTTTTAATGTGCTACTTTATAACTATAGATTAAGTGAAATTATTTAAAAGCATTGATGAACTTTTTGGTACACAAGAAAACTAAATACTAAGATAATATTTTTTATAGTTCGCATCCACATAGCTACATTCCTGTCCAGAGACTTTTGGTTATGTACATGTTATGATGTTTTAATTTGTTTAGTGTTATTGTACTGAATTATTATACCTATATTTGTTATCTTTGTAAAAGACATGCTTTACCGATTTCTCTTTAATTTCATTGTTTTTGGGTTGTAGTTATAAATAGTATTGATTAATTCAAAGCAAAACGTGATTTTTAATTCAAAGCAAAACGTGATTTTGCAGAACAGGATGCGATCCGCTGCTGCAGGTGAAACATACTCGTAACATCGCAAGTCACTGGCGTAGTTGAAAAATACTCGTAAACTTGGCCTGCTGCCAAATCAGAGCTTGCTTCTGCTTGCATATATGTAAAGGGTTTGGGAATGGTATTTTTAAATTGCATGTCTCATACATATATTGACTTTGTAAGCCTAAGTATATTATCAGATATTCTACTTGATTCAAAGACAGTTTTTACTTTTATGTATTCATGTCTTAAAATAAATCCATATTGTTGTTCACTGTTGAATGGATTAAGCTTACTGAAGTATTCTGAAAAGAATGAAATTATATGAAATGAAATGTGTTCTTATCTTTTTTGTGAAGGGTATAAAATATCTGGTAGATGAAAGCACAAAACTACAAATGAGAAGACTGAAAAATGTTCCATTTGCTGTGACCAACCACGAATATGGCCAGCATAATACCGTTAATACGGTGTTTGTCATATCAGTCTTCCGCTCTTTTATCATACAGCCCTTCCATCATAAGACTTATTTCAAAAGAAAATTTTATTTGTTCAACCTTTTATGCTACTACACATGCGCAGGGGAGTTAAGGAAGCACATAGAATTTGCGTAGCTGAAAATCCGCGAAAATGTTGCACTGTGACGTCATAATGAGAAGTCCGCTGCAGTCTGCACATAGCTCTTTACATACGTTTTCACTAAAATTTTTAGACTAATGCATCACTCGTGTTTTGCATAGTTGTAATTATTCCAATGTATCAAATAATTAACATCAGAAACTTTTTTCCGGGAATTTAAAAACTATGCATCATGCTTTCTCAATAATAGAGAAACATGTTATTGTTTTTTGCGCATGCCCAATTGATGATCGGCGTCAGTCCAAAGCTTGATCGCGGAGAGCATGGCGAGGATTTTAAAAACAGGTGCCCGGGAGAAGAAGGCTTGTTTTATGCGATCTTAATGGTTTGAGGATATGCTAAAGGTATGTACATTTAAAATTGATACTGCTGACTTTATTCTTCTTGCTTTTATGTCGTTTATTTCGTTAATTGTTAAAAGCAGTGTTGTGCGAGGGACCACGTGTACCATGACATTGTACTAGGTAAAACATGTATTATATCATCATTTCTCTCTTAAAATGGTGTAATACTGACAACAAGTGTACATTCAGATTATTTCTCAGTTTTGAGGGAAATTCCATGCAGGATTAGTTTACGGCATAATTGTGGGCATGTTGAAAAAATGTTAAAGTCCGTTTGTAAATTTATTTACCCTCGGCGAGCAAATTTTGCATGCTGTAAATATTCTAAAGTAGCAAATTCTGATTCAGAATATTCTTAGGTCCGTGGGAACTATACCAGATTGGCTACTCCCAAGTTTGACTAGCTTTGTCCAGTTTTAAAATAGGCAGACATATAAAGCACAACACCTGATCTAATCCCTGTTGTCTAGCCTAGCAGAATCTCAACAGGGATTACACCTGACCTAGTTACAATAATCTTAGAACTGTGTCTCGGGATAAGACCTCACCACAGTTAGAATACGCCCTATATATTTGCAAGGTAGCAAGTCAAAACTTTTTTTTCTCACTTCAAATGTTTACATTCGGAGATATCTAGATAGTTCGTAGTAAATGCATAGAGTTCTGGTTATCGACCGTGTTTATTTTTTTACAAAGGCAACACACGGAACGAATTCTATCATTAACAATGTTATTCTAATGATAGCACGGTCTGTTTTTGACGCAAGTCATTATTTCCTATGAAGATTGTAATACTAGCTTTGATTGGTGACAAAGTTGGGTGTAAATCTCCTTATTTCCTATCTAGCTTTTAACATGAGTTTGATTGGTTACAAAGTCGGTTGTAAATTTCCGTACACCCCACTTGAGCCGGGTGTAAATAAAACGTGACGTCACAATGCATACATTCTCTATAATAAAAACCAAATAACACGACGTCACGATGCATTGTAGTACGTAGTTACTGATCTTAAGTTTGTGACAAACTTTGATGTTTACAAAGCATTTTTATGGGTACAAAGGAAATAAATTCGTTATCCAGGTCCAATCAAGGGTGTACGGGGATTTACCCTGGGTTATATTCAATACATCCTTCGGCCTCGGGGTGTTCGGAATAAAATCTGGGAAAAACCCGTACACCCTTGTTTGAACCTGAATAACTAATTTAATCCATAGCTTAAAACACAATTGATTATATTTATGTTTACAAAGAATTTATTTGGGTATACAGAAAATAAATTTGTAATCCACTATCTACATGATCATGATGATCCAGGACCAATCAAAGGTACCCAGGGATTAACTACGGGTTTTATTCCATACACCTTCCGGCCTTCTGCAAATCCCTGTACACACTTGATTGAACCTGGATAACTACTTTTGTGACATAGGCAACAAATGTTAAACGCTATAGCCTAGAATAATTTTTCATCCAATCATATGAAAAATAAAGTATAGTTTTATATCTAAACACTTTATGAAAAAAAAAAAAAAGAAATTAATAACATGCTCTCATTAAAAAACTATTTTTTGTGGGGGTTGGTAAAAAAAATTAAAAAGAATGTCTTTATCCTAAGACATGTCTATTGTTGTCGTATCCTCAAAATAGTGATTTAAGGAGTGTTATATGCTTTTTCTCAATTATGGATGAGTAAATTCCACAGACTTGTCATGTAGCCGATGTAGGCATATTTCATGAAGTTTAATAAGTGCGCTTATATTTACATCTTGCATGTTTAAAAACACATTGGAATTTTACAGCTTATAGACTAAAAGAAAAACATAACAAATGTAATTTATCCGGTAAACATGTTGAATCTCCTATACATACAGATGACTACATGGAAGTAACTTGTTTCTACTTATTTGATAGTCAGACAACAAAAACAGCGTATTCAAGTTTTACTAGGATTTAATCCAAAATTCATGTCAAAATCTAGACTACAGCTATGGGCAATATTGCAATAAATATAAGTTTATATTTATGAAGCGTGAATTTACTTCAATAAGCAGAGGTCAATACAAATTCATGAATTTGCAATTTAGTTAAGATGCCCCTTCTACCTTACTGTAAGTGTTTGGTTATATAAAGTTTTTCATTTATTTGTATATTATATATAAGGTTGTGTTAATATATCTTCTTACAAAATTTCTCAATTGTAACCAAGTATTTGTATTCATAATATTTTGATTATTCACATCATTTCTAATGTCAGGTAAAAGTGAATACTTGAGTCAATCATGTGACATATTAGGTAGCATGGTATTTACTTCACATGCTCGAGAATAGTGTTCAATCACAAAATTATCAGACGTTGATTTAGAATTAGCAGTACCTATAGTAATTTACTGTTAAATTTGTTTTGAAACTATTGTAAATGCCAATTACAAACATATATTTTTAAATTTCATGTACATATATACAATTTTTTCTAATAAGCAGGTTCTCCTATCAAAAGAAAAGTTCTAATTATCCATCACTGCATTTAAAATCTAATGTAATATGATATTATTAATATTTTAAAATTAGCTGTAATACACGCCCCAGTGTTGTAAGAGTTCTTCTGCAAACATTACGTCCTGTGAAGATTGCTGACTTTGTTTCAGTTCTCGATGTTTTTTACTAATTTGAGTTTGAATTTTGGCTAGAGCTGAATCATAGTCTTTTAAAAATGACTTGTCTTGTCTGATTAGTCGCCTATATCTCAGGAACTTGCGCACATCGTCACTTCTTCCAAGAAGACGAACCACTAAATCCTCTGTATTGAGTTTTTTGGCTGCAGGGTAAAAAGTAAATTTGTCTAAAAACATATCGCTCCTGACAAATGTTTAATATGAATGTATGATGCATCACTGTGTAGAAAGTTTAAAATTTGAAATGATTTGTAAAAATAATGAAATCCATATAAACTGTTAGACTACCCTTTGAACATTGATCATCGTCCTGTTCAGATGTAGCAAAAAGTTTTCTTTTGCACGTTTTCTGATGAACAGTGGCTACAAACATTAAATAGGAATTAATATGAACATTTGAGATCAGTTAATAATAAATCAAGACTATACTTGGTAGGAATTATCTATTAACCTATATCAAGTAATCAAGAACAATAATGGTATGAAATAGGTATTTAATGATAAAGGAATCAAAATTGCTCGAACTTTTAATTGGATCACATATTTTACAAAATATGTCACAGAAATATGTATAACTTTTACTTTTTTTCAGGTGCCATGCTGAGGTGAAGTTTGGATCCAGAGGGCTGAGTGCCGTGTACAACACTTAAGGTTGGAGGAGGTAAACCTGCAACTCCTGATAAAGTGGCAGTGCAAACTTTGGTGAACACTGAAAGTATGCATTAGGTATTAAGACTTGTCAACTTATCAATGCAATGATTTCATTTGAAAAAAATCAAATCAGTTCCAATTATCATAGCACAGTGTACATTGTATTTACCATTTCCAGGTGCCTTCCTGAGATGAAGCTCAGAGGGTTGAGTGTCTTGTACAACACTTAAGGTCGGAGGAGGAAAACCTGCAACTCCTGATGGGGTGGCGGTGCAAACTTTGGTGAACACTGAAAGTATGCATTTGGTATTAAGACATGTCAACTTATCAATGCAATGATTTTATTTAAAAAATCAAGTCAATTCCACTTATCGTAGCACAGTGTACATTGTATTTACCATTTCCAGGTGCCCCTTGAAGCTCGGAGGGTTGAGTGTTGGGTGTGACACTTAAAGTTGGAGGAGGTAAACCTGCAACTCCTGTCATGGTGCCAGCTATGGTGGGCCCTAAAGATATGTACGAGGTAAAATGTATGCAGACATCTAAACAAAAAAATGCACATAAGTCAAATATATTTACATTTAAATCACATCACAGAAATATGTATAACTTTTACTTTTTTTCAGGTGCCGTGCTGAGGTGAAGTTTGGATCCAGAGGGTTGAGTGTCTTGTACAACACTTAAGGTCGGAGGAGGAAAACCTGCAACTCCTGATGGGGTGGCGGTGCAAACTTTGGTGAACACTGAAAGTATGCATTTGGTATTAAGACATGTCAACTTATCAATGCAATGATTTTATTTAAAAAATCAAGTCAATTCCACTTATCGTAGCACAGTGTACATTGTATTTACCATTTCCAGGTGCCCCTTGAAGCTCGGAGGGTTGAGTGTTGGGTGTGACACTTAAAGTTGGAGGAGGTAAACCTGCAACTCCTGTCATGGTGCCAGCTATGGTGGGCCCTAAAGATATGTACGAGGTAAAATGTATGCAGACATCTAAACAAAAAAATGCACATAAGTCAAATATATTTACATTTAAATCACATCACAGAAATATGTATAACTTTTACTTTTTTTCAGGTGCCATGCTGAGGTGAAGTTTGGATCCAGAGGGCTGAGTGCCGTGTACAACACTTAAGGTCGGAGGAGGTAAACCTGCAACTCCTGATGAAGTCGTAGTGCAAACTTTGGTGAACACTGAAAGTATGCATTAGGTATTAAGACTTGTCAACTTATCAATGCAATGATTTCATTTGAAAAAATCAAGTCAGTTCCAATTATCATAGCACAGTGTACATTGTATTTACCATTTCCACGTTCCCCTTGAAGCTCGGAGGGTTGAGTGTTAGGTGTGACTGTTAAGGAGGGAGAAGATAAACCTTCAACTCTTGACATGGTAGTCACTGAAAAAAATGGAGAAATATAATTTCAGAATGCTACAATTTTCCTACAAATATATTTAATTAATGACCTTAAGACATTTTGAAGCTGAGTTATCCAAGTATCAATTCATTTCTTTTTCTGGTCAATTGATTAAGGCATGTATACTATTTGTAGGATCCTTGCTGTGTATTTCTTGATGATGGTCATGATGAGATTCCTCAGAAGATCCTTCAATGCAGGCATCAGTATAACCTTAAACAATGATATAAAACATCTCTAATTAACAATAATTTATTCCACAAGATTGTACAAGATTTATAAAAAAAACTTATGGCCTTGATTTTAAAACACCTATTTTGTGCTGATTGGTCAAAATGTTTCACTTGTCTGTCTGTCAATATTTTTGAAACTGAAAATTTTACATTCAGATTAATTGAGCCAATTTCAACGAACTTCTTTGAAGTATAATTTCTTGCTTGTATGGCACAGTGGTTAGAAAATATGCTTTTAAATTTGAAAGTAAGGAGCTGATCCTTGCGTTTGGGGTTCGAATCCACTGCGGCCTGAAACCACATGAATCGTGGTCGTGTGTTTCAGTCGATGTTGTCAAAAAAAATCCCTCAGTGCTCAATGTCAAATGTGTACATGTTGAAAAGAGTGGAAATTTATGCTCTTTATAAAACAATATCTCAAATTGATATTGAATACTTCAATTTATTTGTTTCATGCAATAAACCTGACTTGCAGCTTTGATATAATAGGGAAAAATAAAAATATTGCTATGATAAGAAATATTTAAATCTTTTGCATATTAACATGAATTTCAGAGGTTGGGTGATGTGTTATAGGTGCATATAGGTGTTTCAGAATGAGGCCAGATTTTGTGAGATTATTTCTCTTTTGGAAAAGTCATAAAAATTCTGGTATTTATATACCATTTGTAGGTTCCAAGTTGACGAAATGTCTGTCTGAGGGTTCTGATTGGTTGCTGCCATCTGTAGAAGTTGGACCTGGAAAACAAGAGCATATTTTTTTTCTTTAATTTATGTTTACAGATTTCTGAGTCATTTTAAAATTTCAAAAAAAAATTACAATCACCTTCTGGAGGATAGCAAAACTCCAGTCTGCCCTTCTTGTCGAACTTCTTCAGGCGATTGAATGGTAGTTTTAAATGTCCAGATTGAAACTTCTGTATGACTGTCATCCAGATATCTTTGACTCGGTTGTATTCTTGCAGCAAGGAACTAGATCTGAAATGGGCCTCGGGAATGTTGTCATCAGATTTTCCTGAAGGCGATTCAAAAAACTCCATGCCATCATCTGAAATCCTCCACCAATCCTTACCAATCAGAAAATATGCAACTCTCTCCAGATGACTTTGAACTAAGGAAGGCCTTGCACAAAGCCAGTCAGCAGGAATGATGCTATTTGAAGCAGGTGGCAACAGTCTCGCTTGCTGACTTATAACGGATTCCTGGACAAGCAAAGCATCCTCTTTATAGTCGTCGTTCTGCTGAGCATTGAATCTCATCACAGCATTGTCGATTATGTAGGTCAACTGTCTGTTGCTGGTGTTTTCAGAAATTCTTCTGAGATCCCCAAATCCTCTCTCCTTCTGCTCTGGAATAACTGATCTCAGACAGAAAATTCTGTAAGCCTCTGGTGCATGAGTTGTCAAGCTGTGAAAATGTGATCCATAAAACTTCCTTGATTTCATCTTCTTTGGCATTCCTATGGTATTCTTGAGAAGCACAGCAAATATGAAGCATTGATTGTAAAGCCGAAGAATTGTTCCTTTTGTTCGCATCTGACTGGGACTGTAACAAATTCTGATGATTTCTACAAGGGAGGAAACCAGGTCTGAAATGCTCTTTTCAATTTTGCCTTCTTGGAATTTTGTTTCAGTAAATTTTGACAACTTGAAGGCATAGAGTCTTGCATCTGATCCTTTAATTTGATTTTTGTCTCCAATAGTGGTGTTGTAAAATTTCTCGAATTCCTGTCTAACATTTTTGTCTTCTATGTGATGTGGAAGTTCTGTTATGAGGTTCTGGACAACGTTTGTTATATCAAGGAGGGGTTCGCATCCTAGTATCTCGTAATCTGGAATCCCAATATCACTACCAGTCAAGTTAGGATCTTCTGTCATTAGGGCTGGTGGCCTCTGTATTCCATGCAAGATGGTATTAAGCTGTTCTTGCAGTTCAGCTCTTTTCATCAAAAATGTGTCCACCCCCCTTGCCTCTAACTCGTCAACAAGCTCTTCCTTTTTTAGATTGGCAAAAGGATTAATGATGCCCTCCTTTAACTTCTGCCATAACGTGCCCGATATTACCATGAGTCTTCTTTCATCCAGCGACATTTGTTTCTGTCTGAGGCAGCACTCGATGTTTTGATGCTCCTTGGCAGGGACACCACAGATGCAGGCATAGTTTCCCCCTCTCTGTTGTCCAGACTCGAATTGTCGGGCAGGGCCATCTCCGCTGAAAACTCGAATCTTGTTGTGCAGTATGATGCCGCTGCTAGAATGAGAGGTCTGACTGCAAGGGAAATCTTCAAGGCGAGTTTTGGTGTAAGCCAGCTGGTCTGCATCTGTACTGGGAGACTGTCCGAGCATATATAACCTAGGTCGCTCTACTAAACTCTGGATACTGCAGTGTCTTCTTGTTGGATGAAGCTCTGCAAACTACTTGTTGGAAAGATAACAGGCAGGATCATACATGAAGGACACCATAAAGCTGACATATGATCTGTTTAAAAGGTCGGAATGATCGTGCCAAATTTTCACATGCCTTGTTCTCTGAATTTGTTTTAGCTGTTCTTTCCCCCCATTCTCTTTTGGTGTTTCTCCAAGTAGTCTCAAAGTAGTTTCCACTTGCTGATCTGTCATGGCATCATAATCAGTGTCTGTAATTAACCTCAGAATCCCCAACTTTTCCTGCCTCTCTGTCTCTTCTTGAAAGAAAGTTGAAAGTGGAAACTTCCTGCCATAGACGACTTCTCTCTTTTCTTCAAGTGACCCTTCCTTGCTGATTTTCTATGTCTTGGTGATCTTCGGTGTTACTTTCTCTCCTATATATATCTCTCCTCTTTCAAGTCTTTGTCTCATGTCTTCTTTCAATTTTTTACTTGCTCTGGGTGTTGGGACTGATACTCTGGTTGTGATACTTTTCTTCACTCTTCTTATTCTTTTCCTTTAACTAACACTGGTGGATTTAAAGATGTTAAACTTTCTGACATCAATTCCACTATGCTGAGCATACTGTACAGCCACTTGACCCCCATTCAGTGGGAATTTGCCATTTATTTTCATATTATACTGGCGAGCCTTAGCTGTCCAATTGATGGTGCTTCCAGCTGGTGTACTCCTTAAATCATCCAGTATCTCTTGGCGGTCAAAACTGTAGTTGGAGTATTTACCATGATGGACCTTTGCTTTGATCCTGCCTTCTTGCTTTTTGGCTTTCCTTTTCTCGTGCATTGATTTGGAATCCTCATAGGACATGTGGGTAGACACTAGTCTCTCTTTGTCATGTTTTTTTGAAGGACTTTCCACTTGCTAAAAAATGTTCCAAGTCATTGGTCTGGAGGGAAGATGATATTTGTCTCTTAGCCTCTTGAGTTACTGCTTTCATTGCATCTCTTTTGTCTGCAGGTGATGGCCTTTCAATGAGTGAAAATGACTTTTTCACAGCGTCTCGAAGAGGTATGTTGAACTCTTGTGAAAAAGTTGGATCAAGTGTGTTCAAGATTTTGGAGAGGGCTTGTTCCTTAGATTTTGTTGTTGAAATGGCAGTGGTTGATATACTCTTAACTTTTTCTATGAGATCTTGATTTTCTGTTGTTGCAGAAGAATGGAGGAAAGATTTGTTTAGAAGAGTTGATTGGCATGGAATGCAATTCAGCAAACTGTGTCTTCTTTTTTCAGCCAGTGTCAGGAAGTGCTAGTTTTTCAGGGAGAACGTTTCTAAAAATTCTTTCTTTTCGTTGGTTTTGTTGTTGTTCTTCCAGTACTTAGGGTTGCGGAAGTAATCTTGAACACGTCCAAGGGAGTACTGGAAATGTGAACTGGTAATGTGCATCTTGGGCAACGCATCCACAAAGTCATTGTAATTATTAAACCTCGCTGCTAGACTCAAATTGTGGTTAAAGGAGGGTAGGATGGAATCATCTTTACTCTTCAATGTTGAATCTTTCTTCCACCATTCAAGTGCTGACTGGTCTTTAGAAGTTTGTGCCAGAAGAACTTTGGCAAAGTTACAGAAGTTCATTTTCCGTCCAAAAAGATATATCAGCCTGTAACTAATTTTAAAAAATATTAGGGAATTTTTTTTGTGGGTATGGGGCGGGATGCAGTTTATGATCTTTAATTAAAAAAAAAAACAAAATTGAAATTGGGGAGTCGTGTAGAAAAATCAAGTATGTATAAGTAAGGGCAAAAACATTAGGATGATAAAATATTTTTATGCCCTGATTACAAAGTTTTGTTGTTTTTTGAATTACGCACACCCACATGAAATTAAATAAGATTGTTCTAATTATGATTTTAGAGAGAAGTGTTTGGAAGCAAGAACAAGATAATGGCAATGCAATCTTTGAGAAAAACATTACAGAAAGAAGAGAAGTTTTCAGGAATGGAAACCTGGACATGTACGGATACCATGAATAAGACTCGTTCAGAGTAGGATTTGGTAATCATTTTAGGTTTATTTTGGATGGAAAATGTGCAACACAATGTTTCTGTGTTACTCGGTTTCTGATTAAGTTTTTTTGCTTAAATAGGAAAGGCTCAATTAACCATTTTCTGATCAAGGTGATTGCGTTTGTCAATCAAGGGGAGATAATAGTGAAAGCCATTGTCATAATTTGACCATTTTCTTGGAGAAATTCCCTTTAAAAAGATCAAGTAACTGCTGAAGTAACCTCCCATGAATATATGGGATAAAATATTCGGAAGATCAGCCAAGCCATGTTTAATCAAGTATTTAGAGGTAGTGTAGATTTTAGCTTGTTACATATGGATGTATAGCAAAAATAGTCTCCAAAATCTGTTTCTGAAGAAAAGCAAGTCTTGTTTATTCATATTGGTATAGAAGTACTTGGAGTTAGTGCAGATTAAATTTGTTTAAATCATGGTCCTGAGGGGTAGGGGGAGGTATATCTATAAAAAGAATTTGTCACCTGGGGTAGGGTAGAGTCACAGTAGAGGAATAAGTTTAAGATAGGAATAAACAATAGAAAACATGTGCTAAGAAAAACAGTAGGACCATTCCACAATCATGTAAAAGTCACATTGGTGCTTTCTCTTTGATATTAGTGTCTATGAGATGTGGCCACACTAAGCAATTCAACATTTACATAGGTATATATGGAATAGTGTCCTCAGGTTTTGTAAAATCAAGTTGATTCAAGTCTTCAAATCTTTGTACAGTAAAACATGGTTATAATGAAGTCCCTTTGACCTATGAAATCACTTCGTTATATCCGTAACTCACTATAACCGTATAAGAAATTCATTAAATTTATATAGCCGTGGATCCAAGATGACTTCGCCATATCCGTAAATTCGCAATATCCGTGTTTGTACTAAACAAGTTTTACTGTATTGTGTACTTATGCGTAAGTGTGATCACATGTACCTATGAAGGTGTTCAATTTTTAGCTTATATATAAGTTGAGATTCAGCTTGTGCTATTCCACCACTATTGATATTGGCATCCTGGTTAAAGTTTTAGGAGGAGATCCATTCCAATGAAATGATACCCCTTCCAGGACCAAGCTTGCATGGGTGATTTATTTCAGGAGGCGAGGGGCTCAAATAACAATTTTTTAATTAACCACCAGATTTGAATTAAATTTTGGGATATGGTATCTTAAGTTGTAAAATATCATTTGGCAAAGAAGAATTTCATAAATTTAAGCTTTAAAATTTGATCATTTTATGTCTGTATATGGAGCTCTTCTTCTAAAGGAGATCAAAATAGTCTTAAAATGATAACAACCACCCAGCCTCTTTAAAATGGACACTGCTAGACTTGCTTTCTTGGATCTGACCTGCATTTTCCATACATGAATATGACAAGTGGAAAGATTTTGAAGCAGATCTATTCTAAAGTAACTACATGTATAACTCTCTCTGGACCAAACTTTCATGGATGATGCATCTACGGATGGACACTTCAAGATTGCTTTGAATGCTGAGTCTGACTTTCATTTTCCAGATAAGTGACCAAAGTATTGTTTTTGGAGAGCTCTTTATATGTATGGCCTTTTGTGATTGAACTTGCTTGAAACATGTACCTTGAGGATGAACACTGCAAAATTTGCTTTGGTTGTTGGAACTGACTGACATTTTAAGGTCATTCTGAGTCACTCAGGTGACCTACTGCAGTTGTTGGAACTGACTGACATTTTAAGGTCATTCTGAGTCACTCAGGTGACCTACTGCAGTCTGTTTTTTTTTGTCTACTGTTGTCATCATTTTCATATTCTTTTCTGGAACCAGTGAACTTAATTTGGCCAATAGCATCTATGGCTAAAAAGAAAACAAAAATTGTAAAATCCATGGCTTCTGGGGCTTGAGGGATGGGGGTAAAACCCTCGGACATCAAGCAGTCAAACTGATGGCATAATTGTAATAAGCATTTAGCCCTCTACCAAAATTGTGAAATTCATGGCTCCAGAGGCTAAGATGGGACTCTGCAGTATTCCTTAAAAATCATTTCCTCTTCTCCTGGGTATTCAGCAAACAAACTAAGTGCATAGTCAAGATGAGCAAAAGTATCTTTTTCCATAATGGTGAATTTTATGTCCAAGTTGGTCAGGGTTCCTGGTGTTTGGACAGGATTCTATTGATTATATTGTGAAAATGCATTGACTCTGAGAAAATCGTTCCTACTTTTGAGTGTTAAGCCAATGAGCTGTGTACAGTACACGGTCATGATATGTAAGGATGCCCCTCACAAAACTGTAAATTTCATGGACTTTGGGTCAAGGGTTCAGCCTAGGGAAGGGGGTCTATTGATTACATATTGAAATTGATTTAATTGTCTGAAAACTATCTTCTCTATTTTTAAGTATATTGTAAACAAATTGAATGCATAGTTAAGTTGAGAATTTCATAGCCCTGGTTTAGGGAGTGTCAGGTGACCTTGAGTGAATAGGTCCATTTTCAAGTAACTTTTAGTCTTAAGAAATAGAGCTGAAACGAATGTTTGAACTTCAGTAAATTTAAAAAAGTTTTTCTTGAATATTCAAAAAGAAAATATGTATTTGAATATTCAGTCCCACATTTATTCATTTTAGCTAAAAAAAAATTGTGAATGTTTTGTTTTATAAAACACTGTTTGAGCAACACATATTTCATCTTTGTGATCGGGAAGCATAGGTTTGATTCAAACCTAAGACATAAAAATAGGTAGTGACTGTTCCTTCGCCAAGCACTTGGCATTAAAAGTGAAAGTCACAGGTCTTTGGGATATGACCTTAAAAACGTAGGTCTTGTGTCACGGTAGGCACTGGCACGATAAAGAACCCTCACTGCTCAATGGCCTTGAGTGCTGAGATAGGTCTAAATTTGAAGCCCTTCACCAGAATACATTGACGTCTCCATAAGAGTGAAAAATTCT